GGGAGGATGGGTTAGCCTGGTGATGGGTATTGAGGAGGGCACATTCTGCACGGAGCACTGGGTGTTATGCACAAACAATGAATCATGGAACACTACATCTAAAACTAATGATGTAATGTATGGGGATTAACATAAGAATAACAAAATAAAAACAAACAAACAAACAAAAAAACAATGCGTGTCTGACCCATGCAGACTTCAAGGTCCTATTTCTTGGTGCCACCTTCACTGGGGATGACACCCTTCGGTCGACTGAGGAACTGAAAGTAATTAATTATCAAGAGGTAAGTATGCGATCACCAAGAGTGGCTTCTTGAGCAATGAAGTTAGGTGCAGGCACTTGTCATCTCAGATTAACTGGGGTCTCTAGGAACGTAGCCCAAGTTTCCATAATACTCTTTGTAACTCATAGCACCCCTAGGCAATTGTCTAGATGGAACTTCGGATAGGCTCTGAAGTGCTTTATAAGGATTCAGCTCATTATATCAAAGTCCATCTTTATTCCTTTTCCCATAAGAGACCAGTGGAAACATTCCTCCCTCTTTTGGGTGGAAGGAAGTCATTTGAAGGGAGGTTTCCCAGAGGCATCACATGGCAATGAAGCTCCGCTCTTTGAGAGCCCCATCCTGCGTGAGCCTGATCTCTATCTGCACAGCTTTTTCCCTGTCCCACTTTTCTGGCCTGAAGATTACAAGAATCTGTGTCCATGGAAAGGATTAGTGTCTGCAGGAAATCTGCCCAAAGCCAACTCACAGTGTAAACTAGAGACAGTTACTGATAAGGTGAGGGTGACTCAGTCTATGGCATCAGGAAACAGCCCACTTAAAATGTAACAAATGTAAAATGATCTGTAACCTGGAAGTTTTAACTTCAGAAAGTGTGTTAAAATGAGAGGAGATCATATATTGATAATAGTATGACAAGTACAAACAGATGTAACCCACACAAGGCATGAAGCAGAATTTCCCTGGCCTGCTTGGTTTTCAATCCTCAATCCACAACTGCCTGATCTTTACAGCTGAAGCTGTAATCTGACCTTGGCCGCTAGGACTTCTCGGGCAAGGAGTTAAGGCCCCCTTGTCGGAGGACCCGTGACAGATTCACTTTGCTGTCCACACAGTCTCGAGGGGCACCATGTATGGTGGTTCTGGATTCAAAGTGTCTGGGTTCAAATCCTGACTTCATCATTTATCAGCCCATGGCTTTTGGCAACTCATTTAGCTTTCTGCTGCCTTGGCTTCCTCATCTATAAAATGGGTATGATAGTTGTGGTGAGGATTACATGAGCTAAGATACATAGGATCATGTGGTGGAGTGCCTGGCATTTAGTAACTGTTCAGTAAAAGTGAGCTGTTCTTAATACCGTCATCAGCCAGGCTTCTGCCTTCATCACCTTTACTATAATTTTATCTCAGGACCCACGTCCACATCTGGATCCTCTGAGCCTCGAATATGTCTGGCCTGGATCCTCTCCTACATGCTAACTGGCAGCTCACGTGGCATCCTGTGAGTCCTTGCTGGGGAGCACACAGGGCCTGGCCAGGGCTCCTGGTCATCTCCTGCAGCATCTTCTTGTGCTCACCACGGGCTGGATACCACAGGCAACCTGCTGGGCTCAGCTGCCTTTGGGCAACTGGAGGTGGATTTGCTGCCTCAGCACCTGACCCCCCACTGTGGGTCCGATGCCACATGAAGCCCCCCCTTCCTCAGGAGGTAACTGGGCCAGGCTCAGATATAAAGAACTTATTGGTGACCCGGGGCAGGGGGCCCTGAATGATCCCTCACATGTGACTGGTTGGCTTGGCAGATGCATGTGGATGGAGTAGGAGCATTAGTGGGGCATTAAGATATACCATACGATTATAAACTACAAGCACATGTAAAGTTGGCAAAGGGCCAAAGTGTTTGAAAGGGCTCAGTAATGATCCATTTTTATTACACAAATATTACGTATTTATTGCAGAAAAATTAGTGTAATACACCAAAAGCTTTCTTTTCTTTGTGAAAAGAAAAAATCTATAACCCACCTTCCAGAGGTAATGCTTTTAACCTTTCTTTCTCTATGTGTGTGCATACACACACACACACACACAATCACTTAACACTTTTTTTCACTTAATGGGTTGTGGACTACTTTCCATGTCATGAAATATACATTTATATCATCAAGTACTGAGCAATTCGGAATGATTCTACAGATGCATTGGTTCATGGTCTAGCCTCTTGGCATATTTTGCTAATGGAAGAGAAAGGGGTTAAGCAGCCTGGCTGGGTTTTTGTGGTCTGTAGCTTCCAATTCTGATAACTGCCACCAGACTAATTCAGGGTGGCTTCTGGCTGGAGCCTCACTGCCGAGCAGCTTGGCTTTCCATAGGTGTGGTTATTTGAGGAACAGGACATTTGCCCACTTGTTCTGGTCTGTTTCCATTATGAAAAAAATGCAACCCAGCAGCTCATCTCTCGTTTCTGATTAGGGCCAGAGTGGGTGGTCAGGCTCTGGGCTCTGTCCCTCTGTCACAGTGACCTCTAGCCAGCTGTGCCTCTTCTCCAGGCCTCAGTGTCTTCATCGATAAAGTGAAGGGTTGGGTCTGATTGTCACTGCTCCAACACTGTGATTGCCTGTTAACTAACCAGAGTAAGACTGAGGCTTGGGGGTGGCCTTTCATTGCTGCTGTGGTCCGGTGCCAGGCTGGCTGGGCCAGAATCAGCGAGGCAGTGCTTCAAGCATATATTCGTGGGCCCTTTCCTTCCCTTCCCACTGGGGTGAGGCCTGGAATCTGTATTTTTAAAAGATCTTATTTATTTATTTGAGAGAAAGATAGAGAACATGAGCTGGGGAAGGAGCAGAGGGAGAAGGAGAGAATGTCAAGCAGACTCTGCACTCAGCACAGAGCCCGATGCAGGGCTCGATCTCACGACCCTGAGATCATGACCTGAGCTGAAATGAAGAGTCAGATGCTTAACCAACTGAGCCACCCAGGCACCCAAGAAAACCTGTATTTTTAACAAATCACTTAGTGGTTCTTCCTCTCAAGTCACCCAACTGATCATATCCTCGTCAAGCTCTGGTTCTGGCCTAAGGGTTGTCAAAAACATCTCAGTGCCAAGTCCTTTATGGAGACAGCTGGTGTTGCTGGACGCCTACATGGTTCTGGCTTGGGGGCCACCAGCAGCCTGGCTTCCAGTGCCCAAGGAGACAGCCTTCCCCGGCCTGTTGGCTTCTCACTGATTGTCAGAGCTCAGCCCACCCTGTCCGTCCACTGGGCCTTTTTTCCCCACCAGTTTCTACCACATTCTGCTTCCCATAGCTTCCTGCTCCATATGCTTTGGTTCAGGCTGCAGCAGGGTTATGACCACCCAGGAGTTTGTACCAGCAGTCTCGCCTGAATGTCCTTTATCACACAAGAGATGCTTTTCCTTCCACCTGGTTTTATTCCTCCCTTCGTTCCTTCCTCTTCAAAAGACCTGGTGTTTCTGATATATACCATAGATTTCTTTATAAATTCTTCAGGACTTTGAGCTACCTTATTAGCAGTTTATTCCAGAGACTTCTTATACACAGGGTTTTTAATATTTAAGGGGCCAGATTCCTTTTCCTCTGATTATTAAAACACACACACACACATACCCCACACTTAAATAAGAGTATACTTAGGTTTTAAAAGTTAGATCATGCTTTATCCATGATTTGAATTAGAGATTCTGATCTTATTATATTTCATATTTATTTCATGTCACATTTATAAATAAGAAAGAGATAAACCACAGGGAGCTGGATATTTTCTTTGAGTCATTTAGTATATCAGAATTACCTGGATAATTTGATAAAATATAGATTCCTGGACCTCATCCCAGACTTACTGACCATCCTTGGGGGAGGGACCCAGGACTTTGCATTTCCCGTGAGATCTCTGGGTGATTCTTTTGCATGCTAAAGGCTGGGAGCTGTGGCATTAGATGGTGGAGAGAATTTAGACAAGATGGGAAGGACACTGAGATGCAGCCTGGTGACCACCAGACCACTTAGCCCTAACTCCAGCCTCTGCTCTCACTGGCTGTGTGGGTTCTTCTGTGCCTCAGTTTGCTTATCTATGAAAAATCTGCAAAACTATCAGAGTGGCCTCATTGGTCACTGTGAGGATTAAAGTGTAATATGAGGATTAGTAAGTGTAATATGTTTAAAGCATCACCTGCGCATGGTAAGGATTCTGTACATGCTTGCTGTGAATATTATCACATGTCTGGGAATGGCACGAACAAAGTCAAACAGATGGAAATGGATGGCTTTGTGGGGGAGGCGAGCAGACCAATTTGTCAGGAGCAGAAGGTTTCGGTTAGTGGTTTTCAAATTATGGTGCAAAAGCTTAACCTGGGGAGCTTGTTAAAATTTTAGTGTCCTTCCAAAGATTCTGATTTAGTAAACTTGGAATGAAGCCTTGAGATCTGCATTTTAAATTTTTGATGCAGGTGATCCGCACAGTTTCAGAAACACTGCTTTTGGTGGAGAAGGATTGGCATTTAAAGTTGGGGAGGTCTTCTGGGACGGGACTAGAGCTATGAAAAGATGCAGACACTAACTGCATATTTAATATCTGTTTTATTAGGTGTGTCCAGAAAGCAGTAGAAGCATCCGGGAGGTCCAGTGTGCATCCTACAACAACAAGCCGTTCATGGGCCGCTTCTATGAATGGGAACCATTTGCAGAAGGTAAGACTAGACCCAGCCCTGTCCAGAGGAATTATTCTTGTCTGTTCCCCAACCCTGTTCCCTTCTGCCTGATGCTGGAGGAATTGGTGTGATCCTGATTCAAGCGGCAGTAGGGAGCAAAGTATGGCCCCAGGACGCAGGAGAGCCTGCAGGTAGTCTAGCTCAGAGGCATTGATAGAAAAGAGCAGCATCTGAGGATCACCGGGTGAGGGGGACAGAACAGCGTTTGAGGAACTGGGGGGAGCGAGACGTTCAAACCAAGGTTGTGAGGATTGAGTGGGGACAGTTTCCCTTTTCCTTGGTTCCTGCTCCAGGCTTGTGTGGTGGCTTCCGAGGACATGTAGGGTTGTAAAGTTGCCAGGTTTTGTGTGTGTGTGTGTGTGTGTGTGTGTGTGTGTGTGTGTCTGTGTGTAGGGGGCCTCACATGCTGTTGCCAAAGCTGAAATGCCATAGGCAGGCGTTGGTATCAAGGTTCCTGCCATTTCAAAATCGCAGCAGGTCTGATTTTGAAAGAACTTGGTAATACTGCTCTGGATCCCAGAGTCACTTTTCTTAGTTGAAACCAAAGTGATGACATGCCTTTTGAACAGAGAAGTATTGAATTCTGGGAGATTCCTTCCATCCCAGAGAAAGTGGTCTCCAAAGAGGGGAAGGGTCAACCAAAACTTGGGGCATTAAATACTGGTGGCCAAGTTGGCCAGAAGTGGAGAGTCCAGCCACTCTCAGTGTCCACTGTCGGCCCAAGGCAGTGGCTGGGACCCCGGTATTGGCCAAAACCCAGAGTGCAAAGTACTGTGGTCACGTCCAGGAGCTGGAGAATTTGTCCTGGGAGAGGGCTTCATAGTGATTGCATCACAAAACCCATGCCTGGGGAAGCCAAACTGTGGGAAGTCGGGTCTCAGTGGGGACCCTGGAGGAAGAGGGAGGCATTGATTGCTGCTCTGAAATTGGATGCAAGATGGTTTTTGTCTGTATATTTTCTTCAGAGGAGAATCTGTAGCTTCTCGCAGATTCTCAAAGTGGTCCCGTGACCTCAAAACTGTTAAGAACTAACTTGACTAAAAAATTGGGGTTACCAGATCCAAACAGGAAGGAAGAAGAGATGAAACATAGTCAGTTGGACACAAATGTGAGGCTGGCTGGGAGGCTAGAGGGCAAGCTCAGGAAGGATGCCTAAAGTGAAGTTTTGATGCCATGAATCAGAGCTTGGCTGTGGCCCTTTTCATCCTAAAAAGCATTGTGTTAAATGCAAGCTGGTATCCTGATTTGGATCCCAGAACAGGAAAAGGGCATGGGTGGGATACCTGGTGAAAGATGCTTGAAGTATATAGTTACGTCAACAGTATTGTCCTGGTGTGACTGTCTTAGTTTTTATAAGTGTACCATGGTTTTATAGGATGTTAACATTAGGGGAAGCTGGGTGAAGAGCATACAGGAACTCTGTGTACTATCTTTGCAACCATTCTAGAAGTCTAAAATGATTCCAAAATAAAAACATGTTTTAAAAGGCATTGTGCTCCCAGTTAGCTAGATCTTATATGCATTCTGATGAAGATAAAATCTAAGATTTGCTTTATATGGGTGAGTAAGAGTGTCCCAGATTGAAACCTTGTGCTTCCTGGAACCTCAGAAGGTGTCCCTATCTGGAGACAGGGTTACTGCAGATGGAAGGTGTTGAGGTCCTACCAGAGTAGGGTGGCTCTTAATCGAGTAGGACTGATGATCTTATAAGAAGAAAGGACACAGACTTCCAGGGAGAGCGCCAAGTGACAATGAAGGGAGAGATTGGAGTAATGTGTCCATGAACCAAGTAACACCAAGGATTGCCAGCAACCACTAGAAGTTAGAAGAGGCAAGAAAGGATCCTGGCATAGCACATGGCCTGCCAACATCTTGCTTTTGGACTTCTAGCCTCTAGAACTAAATTTCGGAGTGTATATTTCTGTTGTTTTAAGCCGCCAACTTTGTGGTATTTTGTCATGCAGCCTTAGGAAACTCGTAGAAAGAGGAAAGAACTAGGTTCTGGATTGACTGAGGTCTGCCCACGTGAGTAGATCAGAAAGTGGGGGTGGTCTGAGCAGTAGCAGCGGATGCCCAGAGAAGTGAGGCATGAATCTACAGTAAGTGAGCATTTGACAGATCCAGGTCTACCTGAGTCTGTGGTTCTCAGCCCTAGCTGCTCGTTAGAATCATCGAGGAGCCTTCTGGAAATACTGACGTCTGGGCCCCGCTCCCAGAGATTGTGATTTCATGGTCTAGGAGGCAGCCTGGGCAACAGGATTTTTCTAAAGATCCCAAGTGATTCTAATGGGTAGCTGGGGTCAAGAACCTCTAATCCCAGGAGAAGGCAGGACCCCATAAGCGGTGGTGGCTCTAGCCTAAATTAAGAGACAGAATCGTGGCTGCGTTTATAAACTGTGAGATACATTGTTGTGTCAGAACAGTGGTGGTTCTCAGTGAACATTTGGAGAAGTAACCCAGGCCTTTGTCTGAGCCACACCCTTGCATATTTATTGGGGTGGATAATAGCTGCTTTATTGGGATTACCTGGGAGGAAGGGCGAATTCTTCCAGCGATGAATACTCCATTGTTTTGCCTGGAGTTGAAGCGTATGGCTGGACCTTGTCTGCATAGTTTGGGCTGGTCATCCACCATCCATGTCTCTCCAAGGCCCCCTGCTCCTGTCAGGCCCTCATAGATTCGGGTCTCTTGTCCAAAGCCCTGTGTATTGCAAAGAACTCTTGTGCTAAAGTTTTCATGTATTACAGCTATGCTCTCTGCACATCTACTATTGTCTGGTTTATGTTTGATTCTGCCTCTTCTGTTCTTTGGTTTGCCTTGATTTGTGCTGGACTTGAAGTGTGAGGCCTGTGAGATTTTTTTTTAACACTTGCTTTAACGTATGTAGACAGAGAGAGAATAGGTCGATAGTATAATAATAAGGTCCTTATACTTACCACTTAGTTTCAACAGTTATCAGCTCATGGCTGATCTTTTTTCTATATACCCCACCCTCTCTTCCCCACCCAGATTATGGGGAACTATTTGAATTCACATTATATGGCACTATTCCTTGGTAGATATATTAACTAGAAGTCTTGGTTGTGAATGACAGAAACCCAGTGGAAAGTGGGGATTGGGACACAGAAAAACAGATTCTTCAAAAATCGTTATATACTTCTTGATCATAAGCCATAAGATTTTGAGAACCAACTAGAATTGTGGTATTTTACAAAGTAAAGGAAAATGCAAAATAGCAGCAGTTTAGAGAAATCAACTACTGTCTACGATGTGTTACTCGGTCTAGAAGATTCAGCATTCTTTGAAAATATTTATCGACATTAATATGTCTCAGGTGCCCAGGAGAGGAGGAGCCCATGGTCCCTGATATTGTATTTACTTTGACTTTGTTTCCATGGTTCTTTCTGCTGCTAAGATTGTTTTCTTGATTTTGTCCTTCTTCCTCTTAAATGACTCCCAGGCTGACCTGTGGGAGGAAGACGCTCTTCATGCTTCTGCAGGGTGTTCAGACTTCCCGGCTGGATTTTGCATTGGGCTCTTGGTTTTGTTTGGACGCCTAGTGCTATTCGCATGCACCTGCTTAGAGAAACAGCTGTACCCACTCAGTCCAATGCCACATAGAATAGGAAAAGCAGAGTACACCCTGATAAACACATTCATTTTACCACATGCCTCATCTTCGGCCTTTAATCACATTTCCTGGATATGGCTTTCTCTCCTGAGATAATGCCTCTAGGCATTTTTCTCATACCCCCTAGACCTAAGACTGTAGAGATGATGGCGTCAGAATTAGGGTGTCCACACGTTCCTGTGTGCCCCAGACAGCAAAGGTTTATGCCTGTCGCCCAGTCCCCTTTCACTCTCAAGACCATTTTGGACAATAAATTATGCTGCTGGCCTAGCTGGCATGGGCCGCATTAATAGGAAGACTCTGGTGTAGGTGCTGACAGTGGGGAACATGGTACCTGTTTTCATGCCTAGGGCACTGGGCCTGGGTAGCATTAGAGGCCAGGCTTTTGCTGGGTCCCTGTGGGCTACCCGTAGGTATCAGTCCTCATCCATGAATCAGGAGACAGCTTGGTGTGTGGGTAGCTTAAGTCTATTTTGTGGCCCTGAGGGCTGAACTCAACAGAGGGGAAATCTAAAAGCCAGAGGTGGGGCGGAGTTAGAAGTTGGAGGCTGCTGACCGGTCATATGAGCGGGCTGCACTATCCCTTAGTATTGCCTAGATTATGCGGCAGTAACAAAGAACCCCCCAGTCCCAATGACTTCACGAAGCCAAGGTTGTCTCTTGCTCGTGCCACCTGTGTAATGGAGTATGTGTTCTGCTCATTCGGAGCCCCAGGCTCCGGCAACAGAGGTTGCCTATCACCTTATGCTCCCATGGAGGCGGGGACAGGGGAGAAGTGAATCACCATGGATTCTTAAAGCTTCCGCCAGAAGCCATCCCTGTTGTTTCTGCTCCCATCTCATTGGCCAAAGCAAGTTTCCTGTCACACTGAACTTCAAGGGCAGCAGGGAGGTGCCATCCTGCCGTGTGCTCAGAGGAGGAGAAATGGAATATCCGCAACCTGCCCTCATGACTAGCACAGGCAGGAAGCTGCGACAAAATCCCTCGAGTGCCTTCCTTAGACATCCAGGGGACTTTGATCAGGCTGCTTGCAAGACTAGATTTTGCTCCAGGGAAATTAAAGGTGCCACACAGCCTCTCATGGGCACAGGGCCCCGAGCCATTGAGCTCAAGTTCTTCCCCTTGAGTAAAGCTCAGAGGCACAGAGATGGAATGGTGCCACCCAGGTGCCCAGCTGTGCTCTTGCTTCCTCCGCTAGCCCCGGAGGCTGCCCTGGCACGGACATCACGTTCAGGCATGGGACAAGGGCTGCCAGCTAAAAACACTCACAGTGTTATCAAAACTGTGGGACATGAGGCGGGAAGGCTTGGGACCAAGTCCTGCTGGACCCGGGATGAGGATGCTCATG